GGACAAGAAAAAGGAGGGGGGTGGGGGGGGGGGGGGTGGCACACCTATTTAGAGCCAGGACAGCGAGATTGATGTTTGACTGAAACGAGGCAAACAGAGACGCGTGAAAACAGGGGGCACCGGTGGCATACCCACCTAAGAGCTATCTAGCTCGATCCATGTCGGTGAGTGCAAAAAAGAGACAAAATGACATCAACACACACGAAACTTAATCCATGGTTGTGATTGAAAACAAAGAGACAAAGGGAGACGAACGAGCGCACACGAAATAACACACCCACTACATACGATCCTCCGGAGCGGGATAAAGAGAGCACCGCGGCAGGGGGTGATGCAACAACGTGCAAAAAGCAAACATATGCAAAACATACGCCGAGTATACGTCTTCTGCCGGACTGTTCAAACCCGACAAATGAGCACGTTAGTCTCAACCGGCCATTCTCAACATTCTTGAAAAAGACCCGCAAATCAGTACAAAGTCGTATCTCCAAGTCCAAAGTACATATGGTAGTGTTTTACAGCCCAAGAAAATCCTTTTAAGATTCTTGACAGATCCAAAACTCAGCACATACCTCCGAGTCCGATAACGGCGCACACGTGGCTGAGCATGTGGCAGGTGGCGATGGGGCTGAGGCCCTTGACGTTGGCCATGGTCAGGCCGGGCGCGTCGCGGAGCTTGAGCATCCACAGGGGCAGCACGAAGATGGAACCCACGACAAGCTGGAGGACGCTGATGCTCCACGGCAGCGCGATGGCGTTGAGAGCTTTCTGTTTTATGGGGAGAGGGGTGACAGCGGTTGTCAAACGAGAGGGCATCATCCAAGACACGAAGCACAAGCGGGAGAGAGCGACCTTTGCTGCTTCAGCGCAGTCCCAAAGCCAATCAACCGCGATGGAATACAACAACAGGTCCCAAAGGCAGGCAGGCACATCGAGCTTGGGGCGGCAACCTCTAGGTGCAAGCGATGCATCTACCGCTGGCCGCCGTACGTGGTCAAGCACGGCTAAGTGCGCCAGACGAGCCAGGTTGGGCTTTTTAGTTCACAGGCGAGCAGGTTTTCAATAACATGCACATTTACTGCTGCGGATCCATGCACAAACCACCGGAGACATGGCGCGAGTACGTTGTGTCCTTCAACAAGAAAAATCTACAAATCTCGGATTGGTTCGTTTTACTTCTCTAATAAATCACAGAAGAAGACACTGACCTTGTTGGTGATGTTGTAGCCGATGTTGAGGGCGTACCTGCACCATCGCCATCGTCAGTCGGCCAATCCCGTGCGCAACAAAAACAACAATAAGCGTAGAGACGCAGCATGAAAAAACGAGCAGAGAAAACAGACGAAGTTGGTTCAAGGGCGGTGCGGGGTCGGAGAAGGGCTGCATGGCCGTTCAGGAGAAAAGACGGTGTCGGAGATTGCTCACCCCAAATGGCGGATAACTACCATTGGTCGCGCTATCCGGCTGACCAATGAAATAAGAAAGCCTGGGGAAGGGACACCGCCGACACAAACAACACAACAACAACAACAACAACCGCCAGGATACACGCAAATCAACAAAGAAAACTATTTCCAGCAAGAAGAATAGTCTACGGCAGTACACACATCCGGTCCGTCGCCTGGGGGGGATCGATTTCTCGATCACTCCACATCCACAAGTCAACCACAAAAATAGCAGTAGCTGCGATGCACCCAAACCAAACAAACGCGGGGCCAAGACGGTGAAAAACAAACAAACACCATTTCACACCCACAATTGCACCTTGAGAGTCATGATAGTGGAGAGGTTCCAGAATCGCAGAGAAACAACGACTCGACTGGACCAAGCGAGGAGAAAAAAGAGACCTCAGACAGAGAGCAATTCCCGCACAGAAATCAGGCAAGCACAGGAGTAGATACACCACGGCCGGGTGCTTCGTAACGGCAACGGTGTCGTGTGTTTTCCTTCTCCGAGTACTCTAACTCCGGAGACCGGACCCTGTCGTCCAATCTCCTCCCCCCCCTGTATTGCGAGCCCCCGCTGTTGTCAAGTGCTACAAAAGCAACCCCTTCGCTGCCCAGAAACCTCGTAGGCATTTCCGTGCTTACTTACCCCGCTGTGTAAGCCTGACGTATTTTCATTCGTCACCCGTTTCGATGCCAGTCCAAGAAACAGCGGTCACCCAAGTACGCCAATTCTGTATGCCGCCTCCGCCAAGACTGACCTCTCCCATCAATAATCAGCCCCCGCTAGACACCTCTCTCGATGCCACGCCCCAAATCTCAATCGTAATTGTGGGGCACAAGCACACCCCGCACCAGATCCAAATCGCCATTCGGACACGCCCAACCTCGCTCACCAGAGGAAGAAGTAGATGCCCACGATGACGGTCTGGTTCTTCTTGGGCGCGGGGGGAGCGGCGCCGCGCCCACCGCCGCGGGTCATGGCAAGGGCAGAGTCAGCGGGGGCAGTCGTCGACAGCTGCTTAAGGTCTGCCGGGGCGAGCGCGGAGACGGTGGGGGCCTGCACCGCGCCGGGCGTGGCGAGAGCCCCAGGCGCCCTAAAGGTAACCCCCCCCCCACACACACACACACGCCGAGAGAATAAAACACACACAACAAAGCGGCGTCGACACGCAACGTCGAGGTTAGGGATGGGATCAACTTGCGTCTTTAGGTGAGCTAATAATTTACAGGGCGAGGGAACAAACGTGAGCGTTCACGGCAAACAGGTGAAACCCGGAGATAAAGCTTGTTGAGTGTTAAACTTAAGAGTTCTGAGAGGTGCTGATTCTCATTATGTCAGGTCAAACACAAGGAAGATGCGGAACGTTGACCTCAGGGTTGCCTGCAAGGCATCTACCATCTCTTAGCGATGCATTGGACAAAGTTACATCAAGCCATTCGGGATTTCACCCCCAAGGCCCAAATGTTTGTGGACCCGTGTGGTCAGTACAGTGGGGTGGATTGTGGGCGTGGTGGCTTGGCGGACGGAGCGGCGCTGATTCCAGAACCAGAAAAATAGCTATGGAATCCAAGCAATTGTCTGTTGAGACAGTCTCCAATGGCCCCTACGATGATATTTGGCGAGTGCACTTCATCAACACTAAAAGTAGCATTGTGACGGTTGATTCGTGGACTGCTGCACCGTGTAAAGCAGCGCGACTGCGGCGAGTCTCTGCCGACTGCCGCTCCCCCCTCGCCGACTGATGCGTCAAGCGTGGTTGTCCCGGTGATGCTTGCTATGTGCTACGATGTAGATCGTTCTCACAATACATCATGAGGATGGAGATAGAGAAGAGCGGCCGTGAACTCAAGGCACTGGCGAAAGACAGCGTGTGGATAAGACGGGGGCCGGAAAATACACCAAGAGCTATCGAACAAGCCATGCTTCAAGAGGGAACACATCAATACCGGTAGCAGATGCAGCAGCAGCGCGCGTGGTATGTTTTGCGGTTACATCTTAATCCTGCGTGCTTCGGGTTGGCAACACGAGAAATGCGTTAAGTGATTGTAGGATGCTGCTGCCCAAAAAGCACGCACGCAGCAGCATGTGTCGGCGTAGTTACTTGACTTGCCGAATACCACATGCACGCCTGCTGCGACACACGAAGTCCCTGCCGGCTTCCAGCCATTCTATTAAATAGGTAAAATTTCTTCCATGTTTTTCGTCTTTCCACAATATTCCGTCGCCAGTTTACACGTCTATGACGTTAAGGCGTACATTTGAGGTCTTAGCCGGTAGGGGGCACGCAAGAGCAAAACGCAACATGTTGACTGATTGTTGTCGAACCTGGTCGCTGATACTCTGTGCTTTCAACATATCAATACACCACAGAAAAAATAAACAAAACACCACCACAGCAGGGGTACAGCAGCAGTAGAGAGCCCTCAGGACTCCCGGTATGAACCAGACCAGCTCACCGGGACTATTCAGAACAAGGATTATTACGAAGTAGGTGCTAGTACAGGAGTGGATACTCGTGCCCAGAGGTTTGACCGGCACTATACCGCCGGGGCATAGGCACTGTTCAACCGGCACTACTGAGGGCTTGCCGAAAGGTACACAAAAGTGCGATGTGGGGTGCATTTACGACAGCAATAGGGGAGGCCAGTGTAAATTGGACACCGTTATAATACATTCGGAAAAATCTTCCGATCATCCGGCCACACTAGAATGGATACCCACGCCACGCCATTTCGCTCGACTTTTACGCATACATACTCTCGTCGCGAGCAACCTTGCCGATTGTTGCGACATTCCGAGACGCGAGGCGGGGGGCGACGAATGATTTTTTTTTCCAACGTTTTTATTTTTATTTTTCTTAACGTTTTTTTTGTGCGTCCGTCTCTTTTTCTCTCCCTGCAAACCAGGGTTGAACATAGAGACCCATCAAGGATCGCGAGGGACTCCTGGGCCTCAGAGAGGGGCGCGAAGCACCAAGTGACTTATGCATCCGTGCAACACCAGTCTGAGCCTCGCATATCTTATGCGTGGGTATCGGTTCAACTTGAGAGCTCCCAGCTACGACCCTCGATATGGGAGAAGGGAGCGAACACACGCCGCACACGCGCGCATCTTTTTGGGTGGTTCGTTGACGTTTTTATCCTTTCTGCGCGAACAGCGGGAGCGCACCCGCGTGCATTGGTGGCGCAGGAACGACGCAAAAATGACAACGCCGTGCCATGACCGCAGGCGCTAAGGAAATTGCAGCTCAGAGATTATGCGAATCCGTCCCGTCCTCATTCATGAACGAACCCTACAAAGCTCTCTCAAGTGCGCACGAGCAAAAAACAGACAAGGACCGAAGACCCCGGAACACATTTTACGCAGCGGCTGGACACGTTCGGAGCGCGAGACTCACCTGGAGGGCACAAACGCCGACGCGCTGCCAGCATGGCAGGCAGCGCCCACAAGGGCAACAAGGATTCCGGTCGTGCGCATGATGTATTTCCGTATGTGTGTTTTCGCGAGAAGACCTTGCTTGTGCGTGCGTGTGACCGCTACTGCCGCCGCTGTAAACCCCCCCTCTCTATAGATGCAAACTGCGGGGCCTCCACGGGGCTCCGTGCCCGATCTGGAAATGTGTCATGTCAGTTCAGCAAGTCAGCTGTGACATCTCTTCGCAAGCATAACCCCGCTCTCGAGCTCGATCTAGTATGGCACGGCCGCTGAGACAAGATCGTGTGGATGGTCACCCCACGCACAATCTGTCGTTTTTTGTTGGGAAAATGACGATAGCAATAGTCGTTGCAACTGCAACTTGGATGTCGCATGCTGCTACTGCTGCTGCTGCTGCTTCTGCTCGCGATGCTTCGCTCTTTGTCGGGCCTGTGACCCTGCCGGGAGCGCCAGGGACGAGGATGTCTAGGGGGTCCGAGAAGGCTGTGTTGTCGTCGGCGGTGGGGATGCAGCGGTCGAGGTGGTGCGACAGGAGCACGGGGGGCGCGCGACGCACAAGGGCCTGGGTGCCGGGAATGGCGGCCTCGTCAGATGATGTAAGTGGAACGAGGCGAGCTATTAAATAGGTAGACCACCAGCCCTTGCAAACACGAAGGTTTGCTCGGCAGCAGGGCTGCGATGCTGTGCAATGCTTCTCGATGTGTACGCTGCCCCTGCGCTGTCCGTTGTGTCGTTTTTACTTCTGCTCTCTGCGAACAAGAAACGATGGTCGAGAGAGAACGAACAAAGTTGAAGAACGAAAGATCATCTTGCCGTTCCAGCACAGTGCCTACTTCGTTCGGCAGACTAAGTACACAGATATCTTCACAGCAGGCTCTCATGTATACGCGGCCGTTTGCACACACGGGTAGCAGGCATGCCATGCGTCGTGCGTTTACGAAGCAATTATGGTGCACTGAATCCGCAATGCCAATTCGTATGCTATCACATCTTGTAGGTTTTAGGTCGTGTGCTTACCTTATTTTGCTATAGATACGTCGCTCAGTGTACTTGTCCGCAAATCTCCACGCCATCCCACTCAATCTTGTTTTGTAGCTTAAACTTGAGTGCGCTCGGTCCCGCTTAGCATTCGTCGCCACGTTTCACCAAAGGAAATAGCTAGCCTCCGGTAACAGGTCATAGCCATCACTTTCGGGACCCTCCGCTCACCCAGAATTGAGGGGTCCTTTTAAGCAGGCCAAATGCCGCCCTGACATATGCGAATGTATGTTGATCGACACAGCGCCCTCCATGTACATCGCGCCTTTGTCATGAGTGTGTGTGTGAATAGGCGGCCGTCTAATTAGTCTGTGTCTAAAGTAGTTGGTGTCCTCAAAAATACCGTGGTGGCTACATATAGCTTGAGAGCGCGGGTCTTTTGGCAAGGTGCACTTCTTCGCCTCTCGTATTGTTGTTGTTTTTTGTCTTCACATTAAAAACCGTTCCGGTCTCCGCTCAGTACCTTCTATTGTCTAATGTTCGTACTATACTATACTATACTATACTATACTATAGTATAACAGTCCAACTGACGCGGACGCTTTCCGTGGTCACAAGCCAACTAACTGCCCCCATGGGGAGGTACGTACGCCTTTCAAAGAAAAAAAAAGAAAAAATGGACATTGTACGCAGCAGTATTGATTAATAGCAGCGCTACCCTCCCCGAGATGATATCCAAAGTATTTTGACGGGGTGGGTCCCCATGTATTGCTGTAGCTGTTGGGAAGCGGGTGCTTGTCGTCAAAGGTTGCGTAGTAAACGTTGACTCAGGACCTCGATATTTATGTACGAGTGCGCAGGACGTGCTTGCCAATGCGAGGCATAAGGGGGACCGCCCTTCTCTACAAACACGTACCAAGATGATACACGAAACCCCCTAGATCTCCGTAGGTCCGTATCTAGTACTGAGTACACCTAGTAGCCCTGCTGGTGAGCGAAGGTACGGCAGCATTTTGACGTTACATTTGAAGGAAGGAAGCACTGAAAACTCTCTGGGGGATCGAAATTGAAGGCATGGACCGCAGAAGAAAAATCAGTGAAGTTTTACGCTGGAGCTCTGCAGTTCGTAGCCAAGATCGTTGCATAGAAGTATGGCAGAAACCGCGAGCGCGATGGTTCGTATGCGTAGAGGCGATAACGATTTAAGAAGATAAAATTACAAGAGCGAAGATAAAATACAATGATTGATCGGCAGAGCTTGTTTGTGTTGAAGTCCTTCGAGCGAGGAAAGCTACAACTTGGGTGTGGCCACCCTATAGTCGTGTCTGCCCACAACCCATAACTTATTAATCCCAGTGGGGGTTGGGGGGCTCCGTGGATTGCTGTGGTTACTTTGCGGCGGGTGTAGGGGTCCAAAATGACGCCAGTGGGCGCTGTCGGGGACAAAGGAACGAAAGAAAGCATCCTCTTCTTCCTGACCAACAAACCCGAAACACCACAGGATGGTGACAACGGCGGGAAGAAGGACAGCAGCGGCGGCGACGACGACGACGAGAACGTTGACGGGGGGAAGATCAAGCCTGAGCCTGGACAAGAGCCGGACTGGGACAAGATCCTGCCCAAGGGAAAGGAAGCGCCGGAAATGCCTCCCGCGCCGCCCGGGCTTTCTAAGCTGGACCCAAGGGTGCGGCGAGTTTTGTTTTCGGCGTGCTATAGGTAAACTGCGCCGTAGACCTTTGTGATGGTTCGTTCGGCCTTGTGCAGCGTTACAGCAGTATGTCGTGCTCACCTTCCGTGTACCGGCGTCGCGACGTTCGGAGATGTGTGGTGATGTGCCTGGTGGTGGGCGTGTCTGTAGTGCTGCTGGTGGTGATGTCACGTGTTTGTGTCTTGTGCACGCAGGAGAGGCTGACGGCGTACGCGGGGATGTTGGACTGGGAGCCCATGGATCTGGACGAGGAGGAGGAGAAGGAGAAGACCTACGAGGACCTAAACAAGGAGTAAGCCTCCCACGTTGCTGCTTGCTTGCTCCGCACGGCCTGTGGTTGCTTCTGTGGGTTCCGCTGCACGTGACTCGTTATTTTTGGTTCTCTCGCTTGCGCGAAGTGTGAGACGGTGCCGCTGCTCCTTGTCGTCCATGCCTTCCGTGAACTTGATGCAGAGGAATCTCATGAGCCGCCTGTTGTGGGTTGCTGCTGCGCAACGCCCAGCCGGGTGCACTGGTAACAACAGCTGCGCTTGTCTCGACTGGTGTAAAGCTTAATCTTGTGACCGATGGTCGCGCTGGCGAGTCTACACAAGACCTGGAGACACATGTAGAAAAGGCCGCACGCACCACCAGCTCACCGAAGGTCAACAGTCAAGAGCACCGAGTCCAACCGCGCGTTTTGGGCGATGAAAGTTGAACCGTTTGACGAAATAAACGAGGTTGTCAACGCCAGCTGCGAGCAAATAGAGGAAGACCTCCCCTCCCCAACCCTCGCATTCCCAAGCATGCGCCTATCGGCAAGCAGCGTCCGCAGGACCGCCCTCCCCCCCAACCTGAACCCCCGCGTTGTTTGTGTTTGTGCTTTGTGCCGCTATTGTGCTTTTGCGGGGTTTCGGACGAGAGCAGGATGGGCGACGAATGGCTGGCCAACAAGCTGCAGTCGGCCCTTCGCAAGAGCCAGAACCGGTGAGAGGTTGAACAGCAGCAGCAGCAGCCGCAGAAGCAGTGCTTGGGTACATCGAAAGACGGTCCTTCGTGTGCGAGGTGCTATCCCACACGAGCGACGTTCACGTAACCAACAACACCAGTAACAAGCGTGTTTGTGAACAACCGCAGGAACGTTCAGAGCAACGTTAACAAGGCCTACATCAACGAGTGGCTGGACGAAGAGAAGGAGAAGCTCGACGAAACCGCCGAAGACCTAAAGGAAGCCTACAGGAAGGACGCGGAGAGGGTACGTTTTTGTTTGTTCAATTATTTTTGTTGCCTATAATCACGGCGAATCCATCTCTCGTAAGAGTCGAGGATAGGTTATGGATGAGTCCATGTGCATTGCGTTAACGATTCTTGTCTTTTTTCTTAAGCGCGTGCGTAGAATGGACGATGGCCGCAACCATGCTGATGATGTAGTACGCATGGCACACGCAGACGCGCTCCTTTTGCAGCATGACGACGCCTTAATCAAGGGAGGGAGTTGAGTCGAGTCGTCCTCGGTGCTTGCCATTCGACGTTGGTTTGTTGGTGGTTTTGCTATGTACGCACCACCAAAAAACGATGGAACCAACAACAAAATTGCACAGGACAACAAAAAAAAAAGTTGGTGGAAGTTGTGATGATGTGTCGGACGTGGCACACCCGCGTACTCACGCGCAGAAGCTTGTGGAGAAGCGGCTCGAATCGCTGCCAGTCGTACGGGTTCCGACCCTCTCTACTGTGCAACAAGCGCGCTTCTTGTCTTAAAGGGGGAGGCGGGGGGGGGGGGTGCAGCAGTAACGTTTACCAATACCCCCATCTCCGTAACGTCCGTCGAGGACAATTCCTTCCGTTCCCATTTACTCGCAGGTCATAGGACTAGGTCGACAACCAGTAGACAACTCTTGATGGCAGTTTTGCGGTCGCCTCCTTCGACGTAGCGAGGTCGTCGTCTGATTGGCAATCGTCGTCACCATGTCGCCGTTTTGCAGATCAAGAAGAAGATGATGGAGGAATTCGACAAGGAGGCCCGCGTGATGGACATCAAGGTCGCCAACATCATAGCCCGGGGCAGGAGCAACTTCACGCAATTCACGGGGCCCCTGACGGACCAGACCGCCTTCCCGGCGTCAGTCGCGGCTGAGTTCGCCTACCTTGCCGAGGACGAAGCGGCCTTTTATGAGGAGTTGGGGGGTGCGTATACAAAAGGGGCGGGCGGGGTCGGTATCATGTGTCGCAGTTTACGTCAGCGCGGAGAGGGACATCATGCGGCGGGGTGGTTCGGAATACACAACCATCGTCTCTTCCGTTCTGTATCACGACGATCATATGTTCTCTTTAGAAAACATTAACAATCGCTGTATGGCTTATGTACCATTTCGGGGAATTGTTGACAATAGTTTACGACAGTGAATGGAGAAAGGAACCTGCTTTCACTCGCTCTCACTCTCTCGCTCTGTGGAACAGAACTCGCGTTGTGCTTCGTGCCGTTGGTCGTGCCTATAAACGCCCCGCTCTTTTCCTCCCTGCCGCCGTAGGCCTTCCTCACACGAGCAACCATCGTTTTTTGTTGAGACGATACAAACCCTGAACGGTTGTACGTATGCATGCATCCATCCAACCCCCACGCGGCCGCCAGTTGCGCCGCCTTCGTCGGAAGGGTCGCCGGAAACGGTGACCCTGGAGGAGCGCAACCAGATGGAGGCGGAGATGCGCACCCTCTCCCCGGCCGACGTGATT